ACAAATCTACATCTGATTGGTGTACCTGAAAGTGATGGGGATAATGGAACCAAGTTGGAAAACACTCTTCAGGATATTATCCAGGAGAATTTCCCCCAACTAGTAAGGCAGGCCAACATTCAAATGCAGGAAATACAGAGAATGCCACAAAGATACTCCTCGAGAAGAGCAACTCCAAGACACATAATTGTCAGATTCACCAAAGTTGAAAAGGAGAAAAAAATGTTAAGGGCGGCCAGAGAGAAAGGTCAGGTTACCCACAAAGGGAAGCCCATCAGACTAACAGCAGATCTCTCGGCAGAAACTCTACAAGCCAGAAGAGAGTGGGGGCCAATATTCAACATCCTTAAAGAAAAAAGTTTTCAACCCAGAATTTCATATCCAGCCAAACTAAGTTTCATAAGTGAAGGAGAAATAAAATCCTTTACAGATAAGCAAATGCTGAGAGATTTTGTCACCACCAGGCCTGCCTTACAAGAGCTCCTGAAGGAAGCACTAAATATGGAAAGGAACAACCGGTACCAGCCACCGCAAAAACATGCCAACTTGTAAAGACCATCAATGCCAGGATCAATGCATCAACTAACGAGCAAAATAACCAGCTAATATCATAATGACAGGATCAAATTCACATATAACAATATTAACCTTAAATGTAAATGGGCTAAATGCTCCAATTAAAAGACACAGACTGGCAAACTGGATAAAGAGTCAAGACCCATCAGTTTGCTGTATTCAGGAGACCCATCTCACATGCAGAGACACACATAGGCTCAAAATAAAGGGATGGAGGAAGATCTACCAAGCAAATGGAAAACAAACAAACAAGAAAAGCAGGGGTTGCAATCCTAGTCTCTGATAAAACAGACTTTAAAACAACAAAGATCAAAAGTGACAAAGAAGGACATTACATAATGGTAAAGGGATCAATTCAACAAGAAAAGCTAACTATACTAAATATATATGCACCCAATACAGGTGCACCCAGATTCATAAAGCAAGTCCTTAGAGACCTACAAAGGGACTTAGACTCCCACAAAATAATAATGGGAGACTTTAACACTCCACATTTACAACATTAGACAGATCAACGAGACAGAAAGTTAACAAGGATATGCAGGAATCGAACTCAGCTCTGCACCAAGCTGACCTAATAGACATCTACAGAACTCTCCACCCCAATCAATAGCATATACATTCTTCTCAGCACCACATCACACTTATTCCAAAATTGACCATATAGTTGGAAGTAAAGCACTCCTCAGCAAATGTAGAAGAACAGAAATTATAACAAACTGTCTCTCAGACCACAGTGCAACCGAACTAGAACTCAGGATTAAGAAACTTGCTCAAAACTGCTCAACTACATGGAAACTGAACAACCTGCTCCTGAATGACTACTGGGTACATAACGAAATGAAGGCAGAAATAAAGATGTTCTTTGAAACCAGTGACAACAAAGACAGAACATACCAGAATCTCTGGGACACATTTAAAGCAGTGTGTAGAGGGAAATTTATAGCACTAAATGCCCACAAGAGAAAGCAGGAAAGATCTAAAATTGACAACCTAACATCACAATTAAAAGAACTAGAGAAGCAAGAGCAAATATATTCAAAAGCTGGCAGAAGGCAAGAAATAACTAAGATCAGGGCAGAACTGAAGGAGACAGAGACACAAAAAACCCTTCAAAAAATCAATGAATCCAGGAGCTGGTGTTTTGAAAAGATCAACAAAATTGACAGACTGCTAGCAAGACTAATAAAGAAGAAAAGAGAGAAGAATCAAATAGATGCAATAAAAAATGATAAAAGGGATATCATCACTGATCCCACAGAAATACAAACTATCATCAGAGAATACTATAAACACCTCTACGCAAATAAACTAGAAAATCTAGAAGAAATGGATAAATTCTTGGACACATCACCCTCCCAAGACTAAACCAGGAAGAAGTTGAATCCCTGAATAGACCAATAACAGGCTCTGAAATTGAGGCAATAATTAATAGCCTACCAACCAAAAAAAGTCCAGGACCAGATGGATTCACAGCTGAATTCTACCAGAGGTACAAAGAGGAGCTGGTACCATTCCTTCTGAAACTATTCCAATCAATAGAAAAAGAGGGAATCCTCCTTAACTCATTTTATGAGGCCATCATCATCCTGATACCAAAGCCTGGCAGAAACACAACAAAAAAAAAGAGAATTTTAGACCAATATCCCTGATGAACATTGATGCAAAAACCCTCAATAAAATACTGGCAAACTGAATCCAGCAGTACATCAAAAAGCTTATCCACCATGATCAAGTTGGCTTCATCCGTGGGATGCAAGGCTGGTTCAACATACGCAAATCAATAAATGTAATCCAGCATACACACAGAACCAAAGACAAAAACCACATGATTATCTCAATAGATGCAGAAAAGGCTTTTGACAAAATTCAAAAGTTCTTCATGCTAAAAACTCTCAATAAACTAGGTATTTATGGGACCTATCTCAAAATAATAAGAGTTATTTAATGACAAACCCACAGCCCATATCATACTGAATGGGCAAAAACTGGAAGCATTCCCTTTGAAAACTGGCACAAGACAGGGATGCCCTCTCTCACCACTCCTATTCAACATAGTGTTGGAAGTTCTGACCAGGGCAATCAGGCAGGAGAAAAAAAAAAAGGGTATTCAATTAGGAAAAGAGGAAGTCAAATTGTCCCTGTTTGCAGATGACATGATCATTTATTTAGAAAACCCCATCGTCTCAGCCCAAAATCTCCTTAAGTTGATAAGCAACTTCAGCTAAGTCTCAGGATACAAAAATCAATGTGCAAAAATCAAAAGCATTCTTATACACCAATAACAGACAGAGAGCCAAATCATGAGTGAATTCCCAGTCACAATTGCTTCAAAGAGAATAAAATACCTAGGAATCCAACTTACAAGGGATGTGAAGGACCTCTTCAAGGAGAACTACAAACCACTGCTCAGTGAAATAAAAGAGGACACAAACAAATGAAAGAACATTCCATGCTCATGGATAGGAAGAATCAATATCATGAAAATGGCCATACTACCCAAGGTAATTTATAGATTCAATGCCATCCCCATCAAGCTACCAATGACTTTCTTCACAGAATTGGAAAACACAGAATTGGAAAAAACTACTTTAAAGTTCATATGGAACCAAAAAAGAGCCCGCATTGCCAAGACAATCCTAAGCCAAAAGAACAAAGCTGGAGGCATCACGCTACCTGACTTCAAACTATACTGCAAGGCTTCAGTAACCAAAACTGCATGGTACTGGTACTAAAACAGAGATATAGACCAATGGAACAGAACAGAGCCCTCAGAAAAAATACCACACATCTACAGTCATATAATCTTTGACAAACCTGACAAAAACAAGAAATGGGGAAAGGATTCCCTATTTAATAAATGGTGCTGGGAAAACTGGCTAGCCATATGTAGAAAGCTGAAACTGGATCCCTTCCTTACATCTTATACAAAAATTAATTCCGGGTGGATTAAAGACTTAAATGTTAGACCTAAAACCATAAAAACCTTGGAAGAAAACCTAGGCAATATCATTCAGGACATAGGCATGGGCAAGGACTTCATGACTAAAACAGCAAAAGCAATGACAACAAAAGCCAAAATTGACAAATGGGATCTAATTAAACTAAAGAGCTTCTGCACAGCAAAAGAAACTACCATCAGAGTGAACAGGCAACCTACAGAATGGGAGAAAATTTTTGCAATCTACCTATCTGACAAACAGCTAATATCCAGAATCTACAAAGAACTTAAACAAATTTACAAGAAATAAATCAAACAACCCATCATAAAGTGGGAAAAGGATATGAACAGACATTTCTCAAAAGAAGACATTTATGCAGCCAACAGACACATGAAAAAATGCTCATCATCACTGGCCATCAAGAGAAATGCAAATCAAAACCACAATGAGATACCATCTCACACCAGTTAGAAAGGCAATCATTAAAAAGTCAGGAAACAACAGGTGCTGGAGAGGATGTGGAGAAACAGGAACACTTTTACACTATTGATGGGACTGTAAACTAGTTCAACCATTGTGGAAAACAGTGTGGCGATTCCTCAAGGATCTAGAACTAGAAATACCATTTGGCCCAGCCATCCCATTACTGGGTACATACCCAAAGGATTATAAATCATGCTGCTATAAAGACACACGCACCTGTATGTTTACTGCAGCACTATTCACAATAGCAAAGACTTGGAACCAACCCAAATGTCCATCAATGATAGACTGGATTAAGAAAATGTGGCACATATACACAATGGAATACTATGCAGCCATAAAAAAGGATGAGTTCATGTCCTTTGTAGGGACATGGATGAAGCTGGAAACCATCTTTCTGAGCAAACTATTGCAAGGACAGTAAACCAAATACCGCAGGTTCTCACTCATAGGTGGGAATTGAACAATGAGAACACTTGGACACAGGGTGGGGAAAATCACACACTGGGGCCTGTCATAGGGTTTGGGGCGGGGGGAGGGATAGCATTAGGAGGAATACCTAATGTAAATGACGAGTTAATGGGTGCAGCACACCAACACGGCACATGTATTCATGTGTAACAAACCTGTACGTTGTGCACATGTACCCTAGAACTTAAAGCATAATAATAATAATAAAATAAGGTTCCCTTTACTAAGCTACTGTTGTGCACCGATAGATTGTAGTTCAGAGAAGGCATTCAACAAATGAATATTGAATGAATTCTAACTCAGTTTTTGGAAAAGCGAAAAAAATTAAATGGCCGATTTAGTTGACACCATCCAGAGAGGGAAAAAGGCCACTTGAACTGACGTTGCCAGTTGTTGGGTGAAACATAAACAAAAGAGGTAGGCATCTTTTTAATTTCTTAGTGTTCTCCCATCTTCAGAATTTATGCTCTTGATGAAGACAGTTCAATATTTAATGACACTTTTGAAAAGACTGAACTTTTTACTTACCTAGCTCTTCCTTATGTACATGTGCGTAGTGTTCGAGCATGAAGGAAAAGAAGGTGGATAACTGGACAAAATAAAAAAAAATTTATCAATTAGTGAACCCCAAACAACTACTGTGGCAAATGCTGTTGGTGCTCCACCCGAATGCCCTTACTCTCGTGGCGCATTCCTATCCCAGCTGCTGCAGGTGCTAAGGGTCACATCTATGCTTGCCTCCAGAGGACTGCCTGCGTCCAGAGCAACACAGGATAACACATGGACGCCCCTCCTGTGGGGCTGCCCAGAGACAACCACTGGCTGAAGCAAGGGTGTAACGGCCCAGTCCCCCACCTCCCTTGCCTCTGCCAGGGACAAATTGTAGTGCATTTCACACTTGACAGCTCCAGATGGGATCAGGCTGAGGTCAGGCTTCAAAAAGTGCATCTTGGCCTAGCTTCTCCCCTGTCCTGTCTTGCATTCCTCACTCCCTCACAGGCTTTCCCTGAAAACACACCCTCAGTAAGTCACTTGTACCAGAATCCCTGTCTCAGCCTCTGCTTCTAGGAAATCCAACCCAAGACAGCTACTAAATTGTGTTCATTATGATCTCTTCTTTTCTTTTCTTTAAGATGGAGTTTCACTCTTGTCGCCCAGGCTGGAGTGCAATGGCATGATTTCAGCTCACTGCAACTTCCACCTCCCCGGATCAAGTGATTCTCCTGCCTCAGTCTCCCAAGTAGCTGGGATTACAGGTGCCCACCACCATGTCCAGCTAATGTTTTTATATTTTTAGTAGAGACAGGGTTTCACCATGTTGGCCAGGCTGTCTCGAACTCCCGACCTCAGGTGATCCACCTGCCTCGGCCTCCCAAAGTGCTAGGATTACAGGTGTGAGCCACTGCACCCAGTCATGATCTCTTTTCTTTTTGGTGGTGAGATTAAGAGTTAAGGAATATTCTTAAATATCAAATATATTTTGGAAAGAAAGGGAGGGAAAGGTGGAACTTCACCAGCATTCCAGCCATAATCGGGGTACTGGCTCTGTGGCCACCAGGTATCTGCAAAGACCTGCGTTTGTACAGCACAAATAATTTCTTTTTCAAGCCCTGCCTCTCATGAAAAGTAAACACTTTATCAATCTGGGAGTAGATCTGGGAGTTGGGAATTAAAAGAAGGAAGACTTTCCATACAGTTATCAAAATATATGATTTTAATGCTGTTGATGATGGGTTTGTCAATTAACAGTCAATAGAAACCACAATGAGACATCACTTCACACCCACTACGATAGCTATAATCAAAAAGAGATAATAACAAGTGTTTGCAAAGATGTGAAGAAACTGGAGCCCTCAACCACTGCTGGTGGGAAGGTAAAACGATGGAGCTGCTTTGGAACACAGTTTAGCAGCTCCTCAAAAAGTTAAGTGCCAAGTTACTATATGACACAGCAATTCCACTCACAGGTCTATACCCAAGAGAACTGAAAACATATGTTCACACAAAAACTTGCATACAAATATTCACAGCAGTATTACTCATAATAGCCAAAAGGTGGAACCAACCCAAATGATCCATCACCTGAGGAATAGATGACCAAATGTGGTCCATCCATGTAATGGAATATTCTTCAGAATGAGTAATATTAACTAAAAAGGAATGAAGTCCTGATACATGCTACAACATGGGTGAACTTTGAAAGCATTATGCTAAGTAAAAGAAGCTGTGTCAGGCGCAGTGGCTCACGCCTGTAATCCTAGCACTCTGGGAGACCGAAAATGCAAAAATTAGCTGGGTGTGGTGGCATGTGCCTGTAGTCCCAGCTACTCGGGAGGCTGACGCAGGAGAATCGGTTGAACCTGGGAGGCAGAGGTTGCAGTGAGCCGAAATCACACCACTGCACTCTGGCGACAGAGCGAGATTCTGTCTCAAAAAAAAAAAAAAAAAAAAAAAAAAAGAAGAAGCAGCAGCCAGACACCAAAGACCACATAGTATATGATTCCATTTATATGAAATGGCCAGAATAGGCAAATACATAGAGATAGAAAATAGATTAGTGGTTGCCAGGGACTGAGGGAAGGAAACGGGGGAATGACTGCTAATGAGTATGGAGTTTAGGAAGGGGGAAAGGAAAATGTCCTAAAATTGATTGCGGGGATGTACATATACTAAAAACCATTGACTACTAAAAACCTGTACATATACTAAAAACCAATGAATTGCACACTTTAAATGGGTGAACTGTATGGTATGTGAATTACATCTCAATAAAGAATCAATAGAAAAGAATGTACTGGTGCTGGAATGTGTCTAAAGCATACCAATTTGGGGTTCACTCTACCTTTATATTTGTCACTATATTCTACAGTGCTTAAAAAGACAGCCTATGCTGAGGGTCCTAATCTAGACAAAGGGAGTGTCTGAATGAATCACAGTATATCATTTTTCTAGCTGCCAAAAATAAATCTAGCAACTTAGTTCTTTTGGAATGTTCTTATCTTTAAAGATTATAATGTGATACACAGATGTATGATTGCTAATAACTACAAATAATATCAAATAAAAATGAGAAGTCCCTCTTAACATCCCAAGCCACACCCACCAATACCACTTCTGTCCTCAGAACTAACTACTGTAAACAATTTCCTGTGTATCTTTTTCCAGACTTTTGCTGTATGTTTCATGTTCTTTCACATAAATGAGATAAACTCTACATATTGTTTTACAAGTTGACTTTTTCATTAGCAACTATATTGGAGATCTTTCTAAGATCTTTTTATTGTTAAAAGTACTTTTTAAAAATTAATGAGCATTAAAACTAGATTTATGTATTTTTTTCAAAAGGCCTTCCTTGGCCAGGTGCAGTGGCTCACGCCTGTAATTCCAGGACTTTGGGAGGCCAAGGCAGATGGATCACCTGAGGTCAGGAGTTCGAGACCAGCCTGGCCAACACGGTGAAACCCCGTCTCTACTAAAAATTTAAAAATTAGCCGGGTGTGGTGGTGGGTGCTTGTAACCCTAGCTACTTAGGAGGCTGAGGCAGGAGAATTGCTTGAACCCGGGAGGCGGAGGTTGCAGCGAGCCAAGACCGCGCCATTGCATCCCAGCCTGGGTGACAAGAGTGAAATTCCGTCTCGAAGAAAAAAAAAAAAAGGCCTTCCTCACCCATGTATATTTTCTTCTAGAGCTTGCAGAGGTTTGCTCCTAGGAAATTCTGCCATTTTCTCACTCCTTGAAGTAATTTTTTCTTTTATAAAATGACAACTTTATTTCCTATTAAGGCATCTGCCCCAAAATAGAATAAGACTATTTTTATTAGTTAACCAGACATTGGGCAGCCCTCTTAAAAATGTGAACTTCAAAACTGAAAAACACCATCCTTTTCCCAAAGCACATGCTCTCTCAATAACTAGTTCCAAGACAATGTCATGACGTGCTCTATTAAAGCCTTTCACCAAGGTCCCTCAGCTTAAAATGGACCCAAACTTTCATTCTTTCAATAACAAGGGGTAAAGAGAATCATTTTACCAAAAGAAGAGAAAAGCTTGCAAAACAGACCTGCATTTGGCCTTGTTCATCAGCATATTCGATGGACTGGAAGATGGTGAGGGCATAGTGTTGTCTGGCCTTCAGTCGAGCTTTGTAACCTCGGTACCAGTTCTGGATGATCAACGCAGCTTTCAGCGCTGCAGACCCACAGAATATGAAAGTCAGAGAAAAACAGTTACTATGCACCTGTTGGGAGAAGTAGGTGCTTCGGGGGGTGGGGGGGAAGCAGTCCACCTGGATTCCTAGGTTCTAAGAATATTAAAACACCAAACAATAGATTGACTTTTATGTTTTTTATAAAATGTCCTCATGTCTCAAACGCTCAGAGAATAATGATGGCACAGCCATTAGGAACAGAAGTTTTGGAGTAAGACTGCCTGAACTTGAATCCTAGCTCTCTAATTACCATCTATGTGACTTTGGGTAAGTTATTAAAACTCTCAAAACCTCAGTTTCCTCATCTGTAAAATGGGAATAATAACAGTGCCTACCTTTGACATGGCATAAGCATAGTAAATCTATGAATCTGTGTATACCCTATGAAGTAGCAATTCCATTCTTCACTACGTACCCCAAAGCAATTCTCACATAGTCCATCAAGGAGACATATGGGGATGCAATCGCTTCTTTGTGGCAACAGGAAGTTTGATACAAATAGGCCTGGCTGCCTATCACTAGGAAAGAGAATCTGTACCTGTGGTGGGTACACACCATGGAGTAGCACAACACAACTGGAAGCAATAGATTAAACAAACCCATAATAACCTATTCAGTAGGTCTTAAAAACATAGTACTTCCATTTAGAATGGTTATTAAAAAGTTAGAGACAGAAAGAACTACTACTTTAATCAATAAAACTATATAGATACACACAAAACCACATTTCGTAAGAACATATACAAAGGGAAAGATGCACACAACACATGATGGACTGGTTATTTATGGGGGGTGAATGTGCGTGGGATACACGAATAGAAGGGAATAAACTAATTAACATAATAAGGGGTCTTGCACAGACCAATGATGATAATGTTCAGTGAGCTGATGGAGAAGTATGATTCGCACCACCTTCTACACCTGAGATTCGATTGATAAAATGCAGGTGGATAAAAACACCCCCCACCCCCATAGAGTTTCTATGAGGATGAAATGAGATGTTACAAGGGGAAAAGTTTAGCCCAATGCCTGGCAAAAAGCACATGCTAAGTAAATGGCAACTGGAAGTATTGTCTTGTTTGTGGACTATCCAGGCAGACTCTCTCTCTTCTGGGGAAGGTAGCCTTTGAGCCATTTTGTAGTTTCATCATATTGAAGAAAGAAATCAGGTAAGAGATAATGAGATTTAAAATACAGTCTCTTATGCCTCCTCGAGTTTTAGAGTGAAGAGCAATCAACACCAGCTGACTCCTTTTATTCATGCTATCATTTTTCCCAGTTGGTGCATAAAAAATAAGAGTTGACTATAACAGGAACGATTTGAGTTCTGAAAGCAGGGATCCAGCTCCCGGTCCCAGCATCCTCTGGTTTAGTACTGCTGCAGTACACAGAATATCCCACAACCTGGTCATCTGACAGGTTAATAGCTTACCCAAGTCTCTTGGGTTCCAGGGACTCTTTCCATTATTCAGGTTCCAGAAAACCCCAGGAAATAGACCCAATGTCACGTATCATGAGCTTTATAGGGAAAAACCACAGGAAGAAGAAATAGAGTGACATGTTGTGGTGTTATAATATACATAGGATTTGGCTGTGTCCCCACCCAAATCTCATCTTGAATTGTAGACCCATAATTCCCACGTGTTGCAGGAGGGACCCAGTGGGAGGTAACTGAATCATGGGGGTGGGTCCTTCCCATGCTGCTCTCGTGATAGTAAGTCTCACGAGATCTAATGGTTTGATAAAGGGGAGTTCCCCTGCACACGCACTCTTGCCTGCCACCGTGTAAGATGTCTTTTTGCTCTTCCTTCATCTTCTGCCATGATTGTGAGGCCTCCCCAGCCATGTGGAACCATAAGTCCATTAAACCTCTTTTTCTTTATAAATTACCCAGTCTGGGTTATGTCTTTATCAGCAGCATGAAAATAAACTAAGATATATATATATACACACACACACACACGTGTATATACATATATATACATACATATATATAGAGAGAGAGAGAGAGAGGGAGGTTTTCATCCATGACCCTGATACAGTCTTTTTTATGATGTCGGGTATGTTAGGCCTCAGGGGCAGCCTCTGACCTTCTCCTGTCCTCCTTTCACCTGCCCCAAAGCTCTAATTTTCCCCTTACTTTCTGATTATGGGCTTAAGGCCCTATGCCCTAGGGGAAGAAATGCTGTTGTCTTGAAGCTTTCATAAAAACCCAAGAGAACCAGGTTCAGTGAGCTTCTGATAGCTGAACATGTGGAGGTTCTGGGAGGGTGGCCTGCCCCTTCCCCCCGCCTCGCCCTATGCATCTCTTTGTCTGTTTCCTTTGTGATATCCTTTATAATAAACCAGTAAATGTAAGGCAGTGTTTCTCAGAGTTTTGTGAGCTGCTTTAGTAAAATAATGGCACCCAAAGGGGGGTCATGGGAACTCCCAACTTGAAGCTGGTCGCTCAGAAGTTCTGGAGGTCTGGACTTGCAATTGGTGTTGGGTGGGTAGGCAGTTTTGGGGACTGAGCCCTCAACCTGTGGGATCTGACACTATATCTGGGTAGGTAATGTCAGAATCTGAATCAGACGACACCCAGCTGGTATCCGCTGCTTGTTGTGTGGAGAAAAGTCCCCACACATTTAGTCACAAAAGTCTTCTGTGTTGACGATTGTTGTGGTGTGAGAGTGGAGAAAAAAAAGGTTAGGGGAGAAAGATTTTCCCTACATACAAGTTCAACCTTGCAAAGCAAATAATTGGTAGTGGCATGGCTGAAATCTCAAGTATTCTCACAGTACCATGATGGAGGGTCCAGGGTCACCTAAAAGGGCTGTTCTGTGGGACAGTTGCTATCATGATGAATCACCCTCTGGCCTCAGGGGTTCTCATGCTTACAAGCACAAAGGTGCCTTTCCAGTGCCACTTCCTGAGCACTTACAAAGGGCCAGGCATTGATTAGTCCTGCAGTCCTCACGACACTGCGAAGCTGACAGAGACTGAGGAACTCACTAAAGCTCACTTAGCTGGTAAGTGGAAATGGACAGTGACGATTCGAACCCTGGTCTGACTGACTCCATAGCCCAAGCTCTTAACCTCCATAGAGCTATTGATCCTTTCTGTGCCTCTGCTTCTTCATCTGCACAATGATGTTGTGGAATAAATGATCAGTGAAATCTCTTCTATTTGGTATCAGCAATATCAATAACAAATAAACAAGTTTGGCCGGGCGTGGTGGCTCACGCCTGTAATCCCAACACCTTGGGAGGCCGAGGCGGGCAGATCACTTGAGGTCAGGAGTTCGAGACCAGCCTGGCTAACATAGTGAAACCCCATGTTTACTAAAAATACAAAAATTAGCCAGGCATGGTGGTGCATGCTTGTAATCCCAGCTACTTGGGAGGCTGAGGTGGGAGGATCACTTGAACCTAGGAGACAGAGGTTGCAGTGAGCCAAGATTGCTGCCACTGCACTCCAGCCTGGGAGACAGAGCAAGACTCCATTTCGATTAAAAAAAAAAAAAGAAAGAAATAACTGAGCTTATTATTATTTCTCTAATTAATAGAACAAGATATCATATGTTAAGGGTCTATTACAAGACATTTGGTCCCCACAAGCATCATCATCTCCATGTTACACATAAGGAAATTTTGAGTTCAGAAAGGCAAGTCTCTTGCTCCAAGTCACTTACCTAGTATGAACTCAGGTCCTCTGGCTCTCTCCACTCTAGTCAGTTACTTCATTCCCTAACCTATGTGCACCTTTCCTTCCTTTGAATAATAATGGCCACTATTTTTTTTTTTTTTTTTTTTGAGACAGAGTCTTGTCTGTAGCCCAGGCTGGAGTGCAGAGCCACGATCTCGGCTCACTGCAACCTCCGCCTCCCGGATTCAAGTAATTCTCTGCCTCAGCCTCCCCAGTAGCTGGGACTACACGCGCCCGCCATGACGCCCAGCTAATTTTTGTATTTTTTGTAGAGATGGGGTTTCACCATGTTGGCCAGGCTGGTCTTGAACTCCTGACTTCATGATCCACCCACCTCAGCTTCCCAAAGTGCTGAGATTACAGGTGTGAGTCACTGCGCCTGTCCAGTACAATTTCTTGAATGCCTACTAAGTGACTGGCACTAGCTGGACACCTGACATCTACTGCCACTTCTACTCCTCCCTGACACGGGGAAAGAGGCAAGCTAGGTCCCCTCCCATCTCTGCCTGGCTTCCATCCCCACCCCACTCTCCAAGGGAGGAGCTGCTGTTTTGTATATAGCACACAATACGTTCATTGGGTTCCACTGGGGGGAGGGGTGTAAACTGTGGCATAGGAGGTTTATAAACACCTACAGTCCCCTCTGTCTTCTACTTCCTCTTCTACCCCAAAGTCAGGAAGCAGAACTGCCCCACCCCACCCCAGCCTGGGAAGCAGCCATCTTTGTCTATGTTCATACTCCTCTACCTGAGCACACATGCCACTTATTAAGCTGCCAGGTCTCAACTCTAACTCCACCCTTCCCTAGTCAGCACAGTGATGCTGAGGCTGGGACTTTGCAGACCCCATTTCAGCTTTGTCAGTTGCCCCCTGTGAGGCTCTGCCAATAGGGGTGGGAAAGGCAGACTGCAAGGCTGGAGGAGGAACAAGGGACACACTCCTTCCTGTCTGTTTCCTGTTCCTGATAGTGTAACCTAGCAACTGCTCTTCACCCCAGGTAACAGTGAAGGATCCAGTTTGCAGTTCATCCAGCACTTGCAAAGCCAGTCTCATGGTAGCCCTGGAGACACCAGCACTGGCTGAGTGTACCACTTCTCAGAGCTCTGAGCTTCAGTTCTGTAGGACCCTCCTGCAAGTTTCTCAGTTGGAATAATTCCACTCTTTTCGCTTTGTTCTCTCAGCTCTAGGGTGGTAACTTCCCTGCATTTGGTACAATTCTTTACATTCAATTCTCTCTGTTCAAATCACTCTGTGGTTTCTGCCTCCTGACTAGACCCTGCCTGATGAGCTCGTC